TTGGCCTTCTCGGCCATAGCAGGAGAGATCTTGAGTGGTCTTGCAACTTCCCATGGGAAGTCATTGTGTCCGAAGTGACCGTTTTCGGCAGTCTTTTCGTAGATTGGTCTCTTGAGATCAAGATCCCTGGAGATAAACAGAAGTTATAAACGTTTTTTCAAGGTAAAACTCACTTAATGATCATTCCTGGTCGGAGATCGAAGTTATCGTTAACAACTTCCAAAAGTTCGGAAGCGGTAAGAGCAGACGATCCGAAAGCGAAAACCATAACAGAAAGTGGCTTGGCGACACCAATAGCATAAGAAACTTGAACAAGACATCTACGGCAAAGTCCAGCTTTGACAAGAGATTTGGCAACCCATCGGGCAGCATATGCAGCAGATCGGTCGACTTTGGTGGGGTCTTTTCCGGAGAAAGCTCCTCCTCCATGAGCTCCCCAACCTCCATAAGTGTCAACGATGATCTTACGTCCGGNCCCAACCTCCATAAGTGTCAACGATGATCTTACGTCCGGTCAAACCAGCATCACCCATTGGTCCTCCAACAATGAAAGTTCCGCAAGGGTTGAAATGGAAGACGGTATCTACATCCATGAGGTTAGATGGGATAACGACATCGACGATCTAGAACACAAAACAATTGGCTCCAAAAATGTTTATATTCTTTAATACCTTCTCCTTCAGCTCTTTTTTCAATTCATCGAGTGTAACTTCTGGGGAGTGTTGAGTGGAAATAACTACGGTGTGAACACGGCGAGGAATGCAAGCTCCGCTCTCGAAAACGTACTCAATGGTAACCTTGAACAAAATAATCATATTTTTTTCGGAGGGATGTAACTTACTTGAGTCTTGGAATCGGGACGAACCCAAGCGAGAGTTCCGTTTCTTCTCAACTCGTGAAGCTTAGCGTTTAAGTCATGGGCCAGCTTGAGTGTCAGTGGCATAGCCTCTTCGGTCTCATCAGAAGCATATCCGAACATAAGTCCCTAATTTAATGCATACAAAGGGTGAAGAATGATTCAACAAACTTGATCTCCAGCTCCGACATCTTCATCATTCTTCTGAACGTGAACTCCAGCGGCGATTTCAGGAGATTGTTGTTCCAAAGCAACGAG